AACTAGAGTTACAGAGCACTTCACAGAGGGTCAATGAAATTAATACAGTTGCAGCAGTTCGATTAATGAGAGGAAACAGGGGGGAATTTGGTACAAGATATAAATGATGGTTTAAAAGATAAAAGGACCTTTCTGCAGGCAAGGCAAGAGAGGATACATGGAATGGATTAGTAGATATTAAAAATGTAATCTGGCAGACTGGTGTACAGCTGTTCAGAAGAGTTGTAAGAATCCACCCTGGGAAGAACGAGAAGTAGAGTTAGACATAGTGCCTCTCACAATGAAGAAATCATTACATGAACCAGACAGTTAAGGGCTTTATATGGGAATAAGATTATAATTGCCTAAAATAAACACATTGCATGTATATTGTACTTCATTATGTCAAGTGGCAGGGCAGGTGTGATCCTTATAAGACAGTACACTGAACAAGGAAATGATGACATCAAAATTGGACTTTCGCTGAGCAGTTTTATATCATCAACACAAGCTGAGTTTTATGCAATGTTAGTAGGATTGGAAAATGTTGTAAATATGTATAAAGATGCATATTTTTTGTTGATAGTAGGGCAGCTTTGGATTCTTTGAACAGTGGGAGTCCAGTCTTTTGGAAGACATTATTGGTTCATGTAGAAAATTAGTAAAGACAATATGAAAAATGTACATAATGTTCAATTTGTAAGGGTCCCTTCACATGTAGGCATTGGTCTAATGAAGCAGTAGATATATAGCAAAAGAGCCACGGAAAGCCTAGATCGACATAATATGCACTAAAAACCTTGAAACAATTATGAGCAAATTACGGAAAATACAATCAATAGAAGATACTAAAAGGAATGAGATATACGAGAAAAGTGAAACAATGAAATGTCAACACCATGTTCTCAATGAACACAAAATTTACATATGGGAAAGATAGGAGAGGTGGAAAGATTCAGTGTATGAGGTTAAGATTAGGATATAAATATTATTGGGAACTCAAATCAAGAAATGAACAGGATAAAGAATGTAGAGGCTTAGAACATCCAGATCCCATACCCGCCATAATTATATACTGGAATGCCCATTGCTTAATGTATATAGAAATGCCCATATAAATAATGTCCCCATGCAAATAGAGTGGATGTTTAAAATAGGAAAATAGATGAAATATTAAAGAAATATAGAAATTTTGCATCTAGAATATAACTATGTATGTATATAACTGATTATATGAAATATTAGGATTTACGTGAGTCCTGAGAGGGACATTCCTGACTGGGGGTGGGGATGATTATGTCACTTCATCCCTTTGAGATGTATTAATGGTTTTTGTATCTCAATAAACGTATCAATCAATCAATCAATCAATCAGCACATATTATAACCTCTGTGTTCCAGGAAATTGGTAGCGAGCCATATGACTTATGTCACTTCATCCCTTTGAGATGTATTAATGTTTTTTGTATCTCAATAAACGTATCAATCAATCAAATCCCGCACTTATTACAAAGCTGCTAAGCTTGATCCACTCGTCCACCACCCTATTTGTGAATCAGTTTCTTTCTATCTCCCTCCTAATCCTAAACTTATCCAACTTGAATCCGTTGCTCCGAGCCCTATCCTGCTCGGATATTATAAAAAACTTTATCTATATCCCCTTTATTGATTCCTTTCACCCACTTAAATACTTCTATCATATCTCCCCGCACTCTTCGTCTTTCTAGGGAATGCAAGTTAAGTTTCTTTAACCTATCCTGATATGGAAGGTTTCTAAGTCCCGGAATCTTTTTTGTCATTCTTCGCTGCACCGACTCTAGTGAATTTATATCCATTCTATAATAGGGGCACCAGAACTGGACCGCATAATCGAGGTGCGGCCTGACTAGCGCAAGATATAGTTGCAATAAGACCTCTGCACTCCTCTTGTCACTTACACTTCTAGATATAAAACCCAATACTCTGTTTGCCATATTTCGAACATTAACGCACTGTTTTCTAGGCCGTAGGTCCGGGTTTACATGTACCCCAGGTCTCTTTCACAAGTCGACTTCTCTAGGTTGATGTTGTTAAGGCTGTTGTTGTTAAGAATCTTGTGTGCAGACGTCTTCAGTTTCACGTGTCTCACTACATCACCCTCCCCTCCACTATTCGGCCTAGTGGCCACTGGTTACGGGTTAGGTTCTGATTTATTACTAACAGAAGGCCATGTACTTGGAAGTTGCGTAACTGCTTGAAGTACTTCCGGCGTTGTCGCAAAGATGGGAGGTCCTCCTTTAACCATCGCTTCCAGAACTGGTCCGCCAGAAATTGTGCATGCTTCCAGCCCCTTTGGTATATGTGTGAGGCATATGGCGGGTTGAAAACCCACTCGATCTCTTTCTTCAATAGTGTATGTGGAACCTTGGCATTTGTTTTCCAGCGTCTATCTGCAGCACGGAGTTTCTTGTCGGCTTTGACAATATATTTGTCCCATTATCTGAGTGAATGCGTTCTGCTACACCCCAACGTGCAAAGAAACTCGTTATCGCGTTAAGGAAAGTACTAGCATCAAGTGCACTGAGGAGATCTAGGTGGATGGCTCTTGTGGTCAGACAGGTGAATAAGCAGCCCCACCGTTTCATCTGTTTTCTTCCCTGCTTGACAATGAAGGGACCAAAGCAGTCGACTTCAGTGTAGGCAAATTGCGCCTTCATCGGGTCCATTCTATCAGCGGGGAGGTCAGCCTCCCTCTGAAATGATTCCCTCCAATTATTTCGTCGACAAATAAAACACTGCTTCAGCACCCTGTCAATCACTCTACGCCCTTTGGGAACCCAAAACCTCTGTTGTAATACTGCTAGAGTATGTTCTCTTCCTGAGTGTCCCGCTTCATTCTCATGGGTCTCGCTTATTATAAGCTCTGTAATGTGATGATCACGGGGCAACAAGATAGGATGTTTACTGGCCCTCGGTAGAGCAGCCTTCCTCAGACGACCGCCCACCCAGGAGTCCATTCTCATCTAGGCGTGGTTCCATCCGGTATACGGGACTCTGTTTCATGAGTTCTCCGTGTTCCTCCAAACTTCTTATCTCTGTACGACAATGCTCCCGTTGCACGTAACACAAAATCACAGTCTGAGAGGATTGCAATTCACTTACCCTAGGTGTTGGCTCCTTACCTCGTATATGTTCCTTCTTCCGGTACCAGACAATGAATCTCCTAATCCACGCCACGCCTCGCAACAGTTTATACCATGATGAGTACCTTTCCCACAGTTTTTTTTTAGCAGACTCTCCTCCCGTTTAGCCCCCGACTCCAGAGCTGTGGCGTCAACCTTTACTTCCAGGTCCTCTGTGAGACCTGGCACTAACTGCAGACCTTCTGGCCAATAATTCTCAGTCCGCCACAGGAATCCTGGGCCTCGGATCCACCTGCACCCACCGATCATGTCGTCACAACTCAGCTGAACTCACGTGCCTCCATTGCGTCTTATCAGATTGTTTGTGTATCATCGCTACTCGGTTTGCTACAAACGTGTGGAACCGCCGCTCTGTGTTGCAAATATACTGCAATACTATCACACTATCCGTCCAAAAGAAAGACCTTTCGGTCTCTATCGTCTGCTCCTTCCTAATGTGTCTCATCAGCGTTGGTTGCTAGTACAGCAGCACACAGTTCCAAACGAGGTATGATCAACTGCTTAAGAGGTGCCAGCTTGGACTTGCCATACACAAAGGTGCAACGAATGCTCCCAGTCTCATCCGTGATTCTAAGCTATGATACCAGTACCGTATGCGGCCTGCGAGGCATCACAGGAATGGTGTAATTGGAACGAAGTCCCCTTTGTTTACTGGGGAAGTTTACTGGGAGGTGGTTGTGGGGATTAACACAGGGAGGAGGATGTAGGTTATAAGACATGTTAGGTTCTGACAGGTTCCATCACTAAAAACACAATGGGTACATGTAGCACTGACCTACAAATACCATGCACTATGGACACTGCAAACATTACAAATCGCTGGGGACAATGACAAATCAAATTAAGCACTGAACATATTCTGGGAAGAGTGTTTTGCGAGTATCAATTCGCACATACAAGGATGAGAAACATTTATTTGAGTTGTTAAGATGTCATACGAGGACACTTTTCATGCTGTACTACTCGGGGTCCCTTACCGCACAATACTCAAATCGATTTAAATGAGGGGGAGACGTGCCAGGTGTAATGGGTAACAGAGGGAGGACGTGGGTTTGCATTACTTATGCTGCCACCAGTTTAATAATGACGGTAGAACTCGAGTAGAAAATATAGTGAGAATTAATAGTAGGAGGATTGTAAAGTGAGTAAAGTTGGTAGCGTGGCCGATTAGTTATTTGACTGTTAATATACATAAGAACATAAGAAAATAAGGAGTCTGTAATAGGCCGGTTGGCCTGTGCATGGCAGCTCCTGTCGAGAGTTACTACCACTCTCTATCATCCATGAATCTATCTAGCCTCCTTTTAAAACTTTCCAGCGTTCCAGCACTTACTACAAAGTTGCTAAGCTTGTTCCACTCGTCCACCACCCTATTTGTGAACCAGTTCCTTCCTATCTCCCTCCTAAACCTAAATATATCCAACTTAAATCCGTTGCTACGAGTCCTGTCCTGCTCGGATATTATAAGAACTTTATATATGTCGCCTTTATTGATTCCTTTCACCCACTTAAATAATTCTGTCATATCTCCCTGCACTCTTCGTCTTTCTAGGGAATGCAAGTTTAGTTTCTTTAACCTATCTTGATATGGAAGGTTTCTAATCCCGGAGGAAATCTTCTAAACGGCACTTCCAAGTACAGCTATTTATTACTTAACTGGATGGCATGGACACATTAATAAATCATTATATTAACGTTACTACACAATGACTCCGAGACGCACACATGAAATGGATACACTTTCCACCAAAAGCAACTCACCCATTGAATCGCTCTGACAATGACTCACTTATGACCTGAGGGAGGCCCAGCGGCTGGGGATCCTGTCTGTAGGGCCTGGTACAACTGAAGAGTGGTTCTGGCGGGTGCTGGACTGTCTCTTGTGGGAGACTGCTAGCTGGGGACTCGGTGCTGGGAAGGGAATTCCCCCTCCCGACCTCTACTTGTGACGAGTGTGACTCCATCTGGCTCTGAGTTCTGTCTCTCCGTGTCTGTCTGTGGGAAGGAGCTGTAGGCCCCTTGTGTTGGAGGTGTCAGGCAGGCAGATTTCGCCACGAATCTGGGTGTGTCTGGCCAGGTGTCAGGTGTACTTGTTGAAGGCCAGCTTCCCTAACTAACAAGGTCATGACGCCAGCTGGAGGCAAGAATTCTTATTCCTTTGTTTCTGTGACCTCTGTTGGGTCAGGTCTTAATCTCACTTTAATTACAGTACTGTAGGGTGGGTCAACTTACGTGGGTGTACACCTGCTCATCTAGTTGCTGCCATATGTGTCGTTCTTCTCTAAGTTGTATGCTTTGGTGTGGTAAACAATCATAAGAACTTAAGAATGGAGGAAACTGCAGCGGGCCTATTGGCCCATACTGGGCAGTCCCGTTTACACCCAACCCCGATTGCTCATATAAGCATCCAACCTATGTTTGAAGCTATTCAGCGTATTCGAGTTAATGATGATATTTGGTAACTTGTTCCATTCATCCACTACTCTGTTTCCAAACCAGTGTTTACCTATTTCGCGCCTAAATCTAAATTTGTCTAATTTAAAACCATTGTTACAAGTTCGCTCCTGGTTGGATAGTTTGAGTACCTTTATAATGTCCCGTTTGTTTAGCCCTGACTACCATTTATACACCTCTATCAGGTCGCCCCTCGCTCTACGTCTCTCGAGGGAGTGCAAATTAAGATGCTTTAACCTGTCTCTATACTCAAGGTTCCTAATGCCCGGGATTAGTCTTGTCATTCTCCTCTGAATTATAATAATGGTCCAAGTACTGAGCCCTGGGGAACTCCACTAGTGGCGTTGCTCAAATGGGACTTAGTGCCGTTAATGCTCACTCGCTGTTTCCTGTCCTGTAACCACGCCCTAATCCGACGATTGGTATCAGTGTACAAACAAACAACAAGCAGGTAGATTTCCACCAGGTCACAAAAACACACTTGTGCACTGTAGTCACCTTTAATAGTCACTAATTCTTCACAACACTGTTCACAGGGTAATGGCTGCACAGATGGACTTCTCACTTCGAATACATAGTCAGCACACTACCAGTTTACAATTCCTTAGTCTTTTCACTTTATATTGATCGCAACAATTCCACAATTCTTGCACAACAATTATCTTCAGTTGTCCTACTAGGTTTGTTCTTGACATGAGCAGAAACGATCTACTGACTGAGTCAGTCGCACACTGAAGCCTCTTGAACATCCTTAGCACCACCCAGATGTGCCTGGGTGGTTCGAGAATGTTCTTTTCTGATCGAGGCCTACAATAATACGTAAATCATAACAAAAATGATGCAACACATTCGAGAATATTCTTTCATAAGTATTACATTAATATTTACACGAAAATCTTCCTAAACTTGACAAAATAACTGTTACTTGGGAAAAAAAATAATAAGAACATAAGAAAATAAGAAGTCTGCAATAGGCCGGTTGGCCTGTGCATGGCAGCTCCTGTCGAGAGTTACTACCACTCTCTATCATCCATGAATCTATCTAGCCTCCTTTTGAAACTTTCCAGAGTTCCCGCACTTACTACAAAGATGCTAAGCTTGTTCCACTCGTCCACCACCCTATTTGTGAACCAGTTTCTTCCTATCTCCCTCCTAAACCTAAACTTATCCAACTTGAATCCGTTGCTCCGAGTCCTATCCTGCTCGGATATTATAAGAACTTTATCTATATCCCCTTTATTGATTCCTTTCACCCACTTAAATACTTCTATCATATCTCCCCGCACTCTTCGTCTTTCTAGGGAATGCAAGTTAAGTTTCTTTAACCTATCCTGATATGGAAGGTTTCTAAGTCCCGGAATCATTTTTGTCATTCTTCGCTGCACCGACTCTAGTGAATTTATATCCATTCTATAATAGGGGCACAAGAACTGGACCGCATAATCGAGGTGCGGCCTGACTAGCGTAAGATATAGTTGCAATAAGACCTCTGCACTCTTGTTACTTACACTTCTAGATATAAAACCCAATACTCTGTTTGCCTTATTTCGAACATAAACGCACTGTTTTCTAGGCTGTAGGTCCGGGCTTACAAGTACCCCTAGGTCTCTTTCACAAGTCGACTTCTCTTGGTTGATGTTGTTAAGGCTGTATACATTATAAGTATTTGTTCTTCCAATATTAAGTACGCTGCACTTGCTGGTGTTGAATTTCATTTGCCATTTTTCAGACCAACCCTGCAGTTTATTTAGATCCTCCTGTAATGCATTTGCATCCTGCCCTGAATTAATTTGCCGCCCTATTTTGGTGTCATCCGCAAACTTGCTTATGTCACTGCTGATCCCAGTATCTAAATCGTTTATGTAGATTATGAACAAGAGTGGGCCTAGTACTGACCCCTGGGGAACCCCACTGGTTACACGGCCCCACTCAGATTTAACACCATCTACTGACCCTCTGCGTTCTATCGGTGAGCCATGATTTTATCCAATTTAAAACTTTCCCCTCGATACCATGAGCCTTAATTTTTCTCAGAAGCCTCTGATGCGGTACTCTGTCAA